TTATTATTTAAAAATTTTAATTTTTTAATGTATAAAATGTAGGCTAAATATATTTTTATAAGTATTATTGAAATTTTTTAAAAATATATTACACAACAAAATTAATATCATAATCAATTTTTACATAATTTTCAAAATAAATAACAGCTAAAATCTTTCCAAATTTTAATGTCTAACATATAAATATTAAGGTAGACAAGTCATATATAATTAAAAACTTGTATAAAATTTCATTATATATATATTATTTCTTTATATTTTATTTTTTCATATTATTAAATAATATATATGTGTAAAGATTGATTATTGTGTTCGAAGATAGTAAAGCACTTTTATAAATAAGAATTTGTTTCTGCAAAGATGCACTTAAAACATGTTTGGAGATACAAATTCTGATGAAATGAATAAAATAATAGAATATATTGCGAGTTTTAACTGAATTTTTCTATAGAAGATAGCATTTATTAATTTTTTATAAGTTTTTACTATTTACTATAAAGTCTAAAAGCAAAAAAATAAAGTATAAGAATTGCAATTGAGTTAGCGTATATCGATACAAATATTATCAAATATTGATCGAAAAGTAACTTTATCGAATTATAACTTAAAATAAAATAAATACGATATTGTTTAATGAACTAAGTCTTATGTTTAAACTGAATCAGGTTTGCAAATAAATGTACAAATATAATAAAAATTAACATATTTGTTTATGCAAAAATAAATTCTAATGCAAATTTATTAAAATGCATTGTAAAAAAAATTTAGAAATAACTTAGTTGATAAATCCGAAAGATTTTTAATGTAAAATATTATCATTAAAAGAATTTGTATACTGTACTGTTATATTGTTTAAATTTATTAAATCGTATTGGATAATGTGATTTATATTACGTTATTTTTTAATGTTAAATAAAATTTTTCAAACTTTAAAATATTTTAAAATAAGAAATTGTAAATACAATATATTTTTTTTTCAAAAATAAATAAACAGAAAGAAAAACCAATCAAGTTAAATGACGATTATGTTTCACTTCAATCTGATTGGTTACTTACTTTGATCGATAATAACAATAGATCGAAATGGACAAATCATATTACACCAATAAGGCGGTTTTACTTAAAGTAGGCGTATACAAAAACATAATCTTTGTTTACCAGCAATAATTAGATTTATCTTATCTCAATTAGGATCTACGTCACAAAACCAAAGAAAATGGTTAAATAATTGGATAATAGTAAAGTGACATATGATTAAATATTGAACATAGTATACAAAATATTTGATGGAATATATATATATATATAAAAAAAATGAACAGGAAAAATCCTTCGGCCATTTCTAGGACATGATTTCCCATGATGCGCATTTATTTGCTGTAGGAAAACATCATCCATCATTAACAAGACTGTATGTCGCTCCGGGAGAAACAAGATACTTTTAAACAGGTTTCTAGTCGTCAAAGGGATGAAAACTTCCAATGACATTCACTGATACCGAATGAGGAATACATATTTAGCCAATAAAGATAACTTTAATATTAAATGAGAGGAAAAAAAAATGTAAATATATCAACAAAATGTCAAGGATTGTAAGTTTAATCGGATAAACCATTAAAGTTTAAATATACACATAGCTTTTTTAACATTAATGTTGAGATTTTTAGTTGCTGAATACGAAAATAATTTTAAATCCTACAAAAATTTTATTGTTACATTAAAATTATTTAGTTTACAAAGTTGTTAAA